TAGTAAGAAAGGGTGCAGCATGGCCTGATTACAGTGTGTGTTCTGCTCCTGCCCTGGACTCACCAGCCTGCAGTTCAGAGCTGTGCCCCTAGTCTTGATTATAAATGGTGAGGATTAACTTCATATATAAACAACTTGAAATATAACAGCAGTAAAAAAATATTTGTTTATTTCATTGGGTCTTCTCATACATAGAATTTTATCAAAAAATTGTCATTTTATAGCCAGGTACAAACAATGGGATAAAACTGAGCACAAGTTTCGCTCAAACACCGAGTTTCTTGCTAGCGTGAAACTTTTCTTATCTACAGCACGGGCTTCCAAGACAAACCACAATTTCCATTACTGGGACATGAAAACTGTAGGCAGTAACAAAATAAGGGCAATTAATCTGGACCAGTAGAGGGATCAAGTAAGGAAGGGCATGAGCATCCACTAACACTAACCTCTACAGGTCCTAGGTAAAGGAAAATCAGGTGGTTGAAATTCATCCCACAATTTCAGATCGATTTTCACTTGTCATTTGTGCTCTGGAAGCTGAGCTGTCATACATTGGGAGCACAAGGTAATGGTTATAAATTTTCAGGTGCCTACAGTTTGAGCCTGTACCATTCTATTCTACAAATACCATATTCAAACTACTGGCTGTAGGAATTCAACCGGTTTTATTAAATTATAACCTACTTAGGGGAAAAATCCCTGGTTTATCACCAGTTACAGACAGTTTCCTGTTCTACGCTGAACCAGTTGCCTAAATCTGATTTCATTTCTACAAAGATACATGGAAGTTTTAACTAAGGTACCTGCAAATGACTGATTAGAAACCAGTTGCAATTTTTACTAACCACAACTGCAGCAGAAGTTTACAGTGCCAAAGACTTTAGACAGAGGATACACTGACCAAATCTCAATTTGGATAAAAGCCTGGGAGGGAAAACAGCAAAACAAATATATCCCACCACCAAAAAAAAGACTAAATAGGATTAAGGCAACAAAGCCTTAATTTTTGAAGCGAAATTTAAAATGTTTTAAACTAAACAGAACACTGAAATAGGAAATGTAAGCCTCTAACTGTAAACATCCATTTAATAAATGTTCTCCTAAGTGTTGCTAATTATAGTGCAAGAGTGGAAATCGCTTACTTTCTAACTGTTGTCATATTTATAAACTTCACTCCTTGAAAGGGAACCTTATTTTCAAACACAGCAAACATCATCTCAGTATAGCTGGCACTTCTGGCTCTACTTGTTGACTCCATTTAAAAATAGGGAAACCAACTGGGAGCAGTAGCAGCAACTTGTTTTCAATCTGAATACAAAGCAAGTGAGATGAGACCTAATACTATAAACAAAGGACAGACAGACAGTTCTTCAAAGGCGCTGAGGTTTTTGATAATCCTTTCTAAAAGCTCCTAAGGAGGTTTAGTCCCTGCTGAAGCCAATGTGAGTCAATCACTATGAATCAAATAAATTTGGAGTGCAAAACAGTATTTATTTAAGACCAACTTAATATATTCTCTCATGCTTTAAGGTATCGCTTCTGTCTTTGACAATAATGATAATGCTACAAGATAAATGCCCCTAAATATCATAAACAAAATTTCAGAGAGACTTCTTTGAATACAACTAGAGTGAGAGATAAGGCTCAGAAAAACAGGAGAAGTGCTCTGTTCAGAAAATGTCAATGACTACAGAAGTTTTTTTTTTTCCTCTGCAGAACAGTTTCATAGCTATGAGCCCCTAAGCTACCAGATACTTAGATTTTCATGGCAGAAAATGCCACTTTATCCAGAATATCACAATTCTAATTTAATCTGTTTGAGATGAGATGTTCACATTATGCTATCTATCCTGTAGCCTGATCTGGGTTTAACTTCAAGCCTTCTAACGTCCATGAGAAATACAAGTCTATGATCCCAGCTTATGTTCTCCTCTTTAAGAAAACCTCCTTGCAATAATCTGAAACTGGTGATTTCAAGTCTGCAGAAGCATTAAGATCTCCTACCAGAGATACATTTGCAAGTCTAGAAAAGTTTCTGTTGATAAATTTTCCTGATAACTTGGCACAGAAGGCACAACCTGCAGTCTAGTAATATGGGAGAAGGCAACTGGCATTACAGTATTCCAAACACACGAAGTAAACCATGCCTGCCCAGACCATCTCTCCTCCATTTCAAGTTCCAGAGCAGTGTATTATTTTATGTAATATATACAGAAAAAGAGATTCAAGTTGTTTGCATGAACAGATGGCTATATGTTATGCTTTCCTAAGCATTATACATCATAGAAAGGTCTATCACTGGTTAATTCTGTCTCTTCTTAGTGGTCTCTTACTTTCATAAATCCTTAGAGGAAAGAAAAAAAGCAAACGGCCTCCATTAAATAGCCAAATTGTCTCTTCATAATGCTTTAAGATGGTCTAACTTTCCTTGCCTCTAAAAAGGAGACAGCAACCTAACAATCAGCCCTGTATTATAAAGGCCGTTTCTGTATCAAATAAACATCTGCACTAAAACCATGGTCGTGAGAAAGTGGTTTGTGGTTTGGATTTAAGACATTCATAGCACCACAAACTTCCTGAAATAATCACAGATCAGCAAAGCTTCCTCAAGATAGTATGATTTTGATCAATACCCTTCCTATATGACAATAAGTTGGAAGAGGCCCAAGGCAACAGAGGCACATTGCTCTGCCTGGTCAGTAACTATGGAAGAAGCAGCCATTAAATATGCTGCCTTCTCCTCTGAAAAGTCATTTTATTCCATGCCCCGCCTCTGTTGATAAATATCCAAGTGCTTCACTTTGCCCTATTTGAATGCACTGCTAACTATTGCTTTTCCACTGTTACATTAGTCCAACAAGCTTTGAGATACTGGTCAACTTGACCAATTACAAGGTAAATTCAGGTAAACCAAGCGTTCTGCCTCAGCTGGACAAGAATATGCCTCTCTAGAACCTGAAACCACTCTCTGTACCCCTTAAAATAACTACAGGGAAGATGGTAAGTCAGCCAGCTCACACCTAACTCTGGCGTAAGATCACATCCCCCCAAAGATACTTCCATTTCTTTCCATCATGAGATGGAAACTACGTTGGAACAGGAGTGAGAAGTGGTTTCTTTTCTCATGACTCTGCAGGACTGGAGAGTGGGACTCAGCACCCTGGAGTAGCCTTCCCAGTCCTTTCCCACACATTACTGGACCAAGCACAATTCACTTTTCACCACTTAGGTTAAATCTTAGTGACCTCAGTAAATTAAAGTCACAGACAAGAAAGAATGAAGCTGTACTTGAAAAAAAAAAAAAAAAAAAACAAACCAGAACTGACAATACAGCACAAAAGTGAAAGTTTACCATAAATGTTTCCAAACAAATACTCCTCCTAACAACAGGGAAATGGAAGTGAGTCGCTCTAGCAGCTTTCTAGGTGTTCTCTAGAGCTTACTTGTTCTTAAATGCATCCACGTAAGATTATTAACAGGCCTACCCAGAACAGCCAAAATGTCATGAGGACTGAGGCAACTGCACCCTCTCCACCAAACCAGAGCTCAGGCCGTTAATTCAGTTACGTGTGATGAAGTTTAACAGATCAGGACCTGCAGCCCAGCAGCTCTGCAGATTAGACAGAACAAGTAAACTGCAGAAGAGCTGACTGACAGAGCTGGCCTGTGCAATGCTGTCTAAATATGCCATTTGCTTCCAAGTACATATTAGGTTTCTTTGAAAATGGTTTTTGATTTTACGTTTTATTCATCATTTCAAATGGTGGCAAAGCCCAGTGATTCAATGCAATTGGGCTCTGTACTGGTGTGGTAAACATTACATTTAATGGTTCTGAGAATGCTAGTGAATAGGTTGTGCAGGTAAATTATGGCCACTACTACCTAAACAGCTGGCAGATGACCTCCTACAGCAGCAGCTTCTCGATCCTACGTAGGGAAATTGCAGCAAGATGTGTCCTTAATGAGTTGGTTTTTGTTTAAGATCACGAACTTCCCCTCAATGCGTTTGCAAGCCATTTTAAAAGCCACGCTTCTAATCTACATTCAAATTAAATGCACGATCTCAAATCTCATCATCTGATCAGCTAAATCTTGCAGAAATGGCATCCTCAATTCAAGGGGTAACCTTCAGGTAAGGAAGCCTTCGCAAGCCTCTTACTGAAATCAGCTCAGGAGGAGACCTGCAATGCGTATGCTTCTACTCCACCAGATCAATCAATAGCCACAAGGCCAACGTTGATAAACGCCGTATCCCTTACGGTTTAGCGAAGCTGCCCCTTCTCGCTATCAACAAAACGAATATTCCTCACCTCAGCCCGAAGGCCAGGCTGCCCAGGAGCCCTCCCGGCTGCTTTATTCGCCCTCCCCAGCCCGCTGGCCACGGGGACTCTCCCGGGAGCCCCGACCCCGCCGCGGCGGCCCTTCCCGAGCCCTGAGGAGAGCGGCGCTTCCCCCGGGCAGCCCGTTGCGATGCGGGCCGGGCGGGCGGCGGGTCCCGCTGCATTTTGCCCAGTGAAACCAACCCCTGCAACAAGTGAGGACCCTCTGCCCGCCTCGGGCACGGCGGCCGCAGCCCGGGCCGGCGCCTGAGGGAGGCAGCGGTTATGCAACGGGCGGGCGGCCGCCGCCGGGCCGCGGGGCTGAGGGGACCGACCTTGGGGTAGCGAAGGCCCCGGGGAAGGGGAGGCGGGCGCCGGGCGCAGGTGAGCGGGGAGAGCCAGCCCTCACCACCGCCACCCCCCCCCCCTTCCCAAGGGCGGCCAGCGCCCTCCTCCCCTCCCGACGAGATGTCCTCCTCCTCCTCCGCGCTCCCTCCCCCTTCCGAAGGACGACGGCAGCCAAGGACACCGTTCCCCCGGCCCAGCAGCTCCCCCCGCCCGGGGCAGAGCCCCTCAGGGAGCCCAGGCGCCGAAGCCCCGGAGGGGGGGGGGCAGACCCGCCGCCCTCCTCTTCCCCCCCGGTGGCGAGCAGCCTCCCCCGCCCGCCCCGGCTCTGTTTACCTCGGGCGGCCGCTGCTCCTCCGCAGAGCAGCGCGGCGAGCAGCAGGCAGGATGCGGGGGCCGGCAGGGAGCGCGGCATGCCCGGGCGGCGCGGCGGCGGCGGCATGGCAGCGCGGAGCGGTGCAGGGCAGCGCGCAGCCCCGGCTGGCGGGGCGGCTGTGGCGCCCCCGCTGGTCCGGGCTCCGCTTAGCGCCGGGCGGAGGGCTCGGCTCGGCCCCGAGAAGAAGAAGGAGGAGGAAGAGGAGGAGGAGGGAGGAGGAGAAGCGTAGGGC